AAATGTATTTCCCACGGTTCCGGAGGCTGGAAGGCCCAGATAAGGTGTCAGCAGCTTGGTTTCTTCTGAGGCCTCCTTGGCCTGCAGACGGCGCCTCTCACTGCGTGCTCACACGGGCTCCTGAAGGCTGTGTGTACGTCTTAATGTCCTCTCCTGAGGACACCAGGCCCACTGGATCAGGGCCCATCCGTGTGACGTCGTTTTACCTTAATTTCCTCTTCACAGGCTCCATCTGCAAATACATGCACATGCTGAGGTCCTGGGGGTTAGCACTTCACCCTGAGTCTGAGGGGAACACAGTTCAGCCCACAACACCCAGGATTAGGTGCCAGAGAGCAGCATTGCCCAACTAACAGTGAGTTACAGGGAAGTAACGATCAGAGCCCAGATCAAGGGGGCAGTGGTATACCAGGTACTTTGGGATCAGAGAGGATGTGACATCCTGGAGGGAGACGGTTGACAAGCTGGTCTCATTCTTGAGTCCCTGATCCATCAGTCCTGCTGCCTCGAGTAAGAATAAGAGGCCCTCCAGGAGCCCGGGGAGGATGCTGGGATGCACCAGCAAAGGCTGCCGTGGGCTTAGGACCAGCGGTGGGGGACTTCCTTCTGTGTCTGCTGACACGGGTCGGGGAGGGTCGCAGGTGTTGGAGCCGGGTGTTGAGGGGTGTGCAGGAGTTGGCCAGGAGGAGGGAGGGAGGAGTGACCCAGGCAGAGGAAACGGCCTGAGCCAGGTTGAAACAAGCGGCAAACGTCTAGAGTTGAGGGAGAAGAACGGATAGAGTTGGAAAAGGAGCTCGGAGGCAGGGTGGCGAGGCGCCCTGCATGGTGGGGTGTGGGCCTCTGTTTCCAAGGTGATGGGGAGGGACGGAGGTTGGGGAGGGGTGAGCTGGTCGGAGCCGCTCTAGGTCCCTCTGGCTGCTTCACAGAGATGGAGCTGAGCAGGGAGGCCCTGTGACGGTGCCGGGCGAAGACGGGGAGGAAGACCAGAGCACCGGGCTGCCTGAAGCTCTAGGCCACATGCAGGGCCTCCATCTGAGGTGCTCTGTAACATCAGGCAGGGCATTCCCTCTCTGTGCCTCAGTTTCCCCATCTCTGAAAGTGGAGCAGGCTTAGGTGACCACTGTGGTGCCTTCTTCCCCCTAACTTTCTAAGAGTGGCTTCTGGTTCCTACCCCAGGGCCCTCATGTCCGCACGGGCTGCCAGGGGGTTTGTCATCCCCCTCTCCAGGTTACACACAGCAAGGAGACGGGTCCAGGGAGCGACTGCCCTGGGCGCATGTTCCATTCCGCTCTCACCTGCCGTGTAGCGTGGGCATGCTGTGACGCCTCCCTGAGCCTCAGTGTAGTGTCCTCAGCTCTGAGGTGGAGACAGGAATGGGCCCTATGGCTCCGGGCTCTCAGGCTTCGCTCATGGTCACTGCCCGACACGCAGGAGCCAAAGAGAGTCACACGAGCTGAGAGGGGACGCAGGCCTGTGCTTCCCTGCCCTGACTGTGTGGTGAGCCATCTGGCTCCAGGGTCCCCTGCTGAGGGTGATTCAGTGCCTCTGGGCCCTGGGGTTGTAACAGGATCCCCCAGGGCTCTGAGCCCCCACCAGGTTGGGAGTGTGGACACAGAATGACCACTAGCCATTCAATGAATGAGAGGAATAAGGTGAGTTTTACTTGAGCCAGGGGGAGGACTAGAGCCGCGAGGCCTTCTGCAGAGAAGAGGGAAGGGTTCCAGGGAAGCGTGGCTTTCAGGACACTGTTGTGTCTTGTAGAATGGAGAGCATACGTTCAACACACCCAGGAGACGTTTTCAATGTTTCAAAGAAGTATTTACTTGCAAATGAGCAGGTCAACGTGACCTGATGTGGGGAAGGGAAAGGCATTAATATGGGGAGCATTACCAATGGGGCGAAGGAGGGGAGGGTGCACTCCTGTCTTCAGAGGGTGCGCTCTCTGATGGTTACGCAGGTGTGCAACGTGTGTTTGATAGACTTCTTTTTGTTGTTGTTGAGGAAGATTGGCCCTGAGCTAACATCTGTGTTGCATGTGGGACACTGCCACAGCATGGCCTGGTGAGCGGTGTGTAGGGCTGTGCCTATGAACCCTGAGTCACCAAAGTGGAGCAAAACTTAACCACTATGCCCCCATGACAGCCCCATAAGCCAGGCTTCCTTAGTTCAGGCTGCATCAGTTTGAACCCCAACGGTTACCCCATATTCCTCAGAATATATACCATCTTCTTCACCCCTCACTTCACAGGAGAGGACACACGCCCAGGGAGGGGAGCAGCTTTCCCTCGCCCCCAGCTAGGTACGGACACCAGGCCCCTGACTCCCTGTCCAGTGCTCTCTCCTTCCTGAGCAGACCCGAGGTCTCGGCTCCACGTCTCACAGCATCTATGCAGAGGCAGACCCGAACAACCGCCCGTCTGCCTCCTCTGGCTCCTGTCTGTCTGCGGCGAGTCCTTACAGGGGCAGAGAGAGGCACTGCCTGGTCCAGTCGCTGACGGCCACACTCCAGCTCTGAAGCCCGGCAAGGGCTGGAGTGGAACCAGGAGAGTCCTGGCCTTGCCCAGCAGCGGCCGGAGCTGAGCATCTTCTTGGACTTGGTGCCTAGTTCTCCCGGCTCCCTCCAGAGGCCTCCCCAGGAGGTGCCAAGGCAGAGCCCAGAGGCCACCCTCCCCCAGCTGGAGCTTCCGGGGACATCTGAGATGCTGCTGGAGTGAGGGGGCAGGCCCCGGGCTGGGTTATTCTGTCCCCCTGTCCTCCCCTCCAGGAGGGAGGCCCACCCAGGCCTCTGGGGAGCAATAGCCTCTCGCCTCCATGCGTGGCTCTGTCCCAGGCCCCTGCTCTTGGCTGCTCCTCCCTGCTGGGGGCCGGGCAGGAGAGGAAGAGGAGCTGATGCTGGTGCCCTGCTGGGGATGCCGGGTCTGCCCACACCTTCCTGGGGACCCCGGTCACCATCCCTAAGAGACTGCACATGGGCTGAGTCCCTCAGCCAGGCCTTCCCTGGACCCTGTGGTGTAGAGGTCGTGCTTCCTGAGGAGCCTTCCAGAGGCTGGGGAGGTGAGAGGGCCTGACACCACAGAGCCTCTCTCTGGTCTTCCGGGCTCGCCTTTCCCTGCTGGCCCTGAGCCGTCAACCCATCAGCAGGCGGAGCCCTGGGCAGGGGGCAGCAGCCTGGGTTCTAGTCGGCTCCTGCCCTGCGAGTGCCCTGAGCAAGGAGACAGGTGGGTCTCTGGCTCTGCATCCCTGGGGACTGGTTTTCTCCTGCTTCTCGGGGCAGGCCGTGATGAAGGCCTGGCTGTGGGCTCTCAGGCGGTGTGAACACGAGTGTGGATGTCACAGGCCTGGCCGGCTCCCAGTGGAGGACAGGCTTCCACTCACATGTGGGCTTTGGACCTGGGGTCTCCTCCCAGCTCCACTGAGCTGTGGCTTCACCTCCCCAGCTTCAGTTTCCTTATCTGCTGAGATGAAGACTGCCCTTATCTCCAGGGACTGTTGAGACAGAATGTGATAATGTGCATAAACGCTTGGCCAGGTGCCAGGCACAGAGGCTGGGATCCCTGCCGACTCTTCTCCCTGGAGGCAGCCTTCCCCAGAGACCCTAGATGGCGGGCTGGCTCCTCCCTGAGCCGGGGCCACCGGAGGGGGCCTGCCCTGTGGTCCCCAGAAGGTCAGGTGCCAGCCACAGGCCGCTGGGCACTGGCGACAGGAAGGGCTGGCCCAGGAGCCTGGGCTGGAGGGAGCATCCTGGTTGGGGAGGGCTCCACCCCTGAAGCATGGCTGACCCCGCCCCCTGGCCCGCCCCCCTTTGATGCGCAGAAGGGGTAAAAGGGGAGGAGCCTGCAGGCCCCAGACACCCTGCTTCTCGCAGGGGGCGGGGCTGTGAGGGAGGAGCTCAGGCAGGGCCTTGAGCCAGGACACAGGGCTGAGGAGGGCAGCGCCCAGCTCTCCTGATGCCTCGGGCTGTGCATCCTGAGATTCACGCACCAACCCTGTGGTCAGTGGTCTTCAACCGAAGCCCGGGGGTTTGGGTCACTTGCCCTGAAACGGTGGCTGAGCTGTGATCTGTAACCAGGCCCCTGGGCTCCAAGACTCCAGCCCAAAAGGTCGCTGTGGTGTCAGTTGGAGGTGACCCCCAGGCGCCCTGTTGTCTCTCTGCCTCTCTCTCCCTCCCACCAGCCTCGGAGGCTCAGCTGGGCCTCCTGGAGCTGAGGCTGAGGTGAGCTTTCTATAACCGGCTCCAATGCCAGGAAACTACCACCCAGACCTGTGTGGACCACGAGGCCTGTGGGTCGCAGACTTGTCCTCAGAGTGGCCTGGCCTCTCACTGCCCTGGGTGACCTGGAGGGCACCTGCCTTTTTCTGCACACCAGCCTTGAAAACCACCAGTTGTCAAATAGGTATCTCCCCCACCCACCAGGGATTCTGGAGACATGGTGGGACGTGCCCCTGCCAGTGAGCCGTCATGCCAGGCCTGGGACGCAGGGCCTGCTGCCCCCCTGCCAGCCCCCTTCTCTCACTGCCCCCGGTGTCCCCGGTGTGCAGCTGTGGTGCAGGAAGAGGGGCCTAGCCACAGCCCAGCTCACTCGCCTCACGTGAGGGGGTTGCAAACCACAGCTTCTGGGACTATGGACACTCCTGCTTTCTGGAAAAGCACTCACTCTGCTGTCAGGACTGGCTCTCTGCCTGGCATCCAGCCCAGGCTCTCCCATCTCCACACGGGAACCACTTGTGTCCAGTAGCCAGCCCCCTGCCCCCACCAGGGTTCCCCAGCAGCAGCATCTCAAGCCCGCCATGGAATCTGGGGGAGATGAACACCACAGGCAGACCACACCACACCGGCGTCCTGTAGGAAGGACCAGCGGGCTGGGTGCTTCTCCTGTCCTAGGCTCCCTGGGGGTCCCAGGCCCCCCAGTGGTTCCCATACACTCCAGCCTCCCTCCATCCCGCTCTCCCCAGCTGTGGTGCACACCCACCCTGCCCCACTTTAGTTACTAGTCTGAAGCTGATCCAAAAACCCTTTATTTACATTTTCTCTTAGACAAAAATATACAGATCTGCTGCCCTGTCGATTCCTCAGGCTCAGGGTCTTTACGGGAAGGTGGGGGGGTGGGGGGGCAGGCAGCCCCAAGGCTGTTCTTGTCCATCGAGGACTCCTGCTCATCTGGCTCTGGGGCGGGGCTTCCCTGAGATCAGTCCCAGGGCCCTGGGGTGGGGCTGGCATGAGGGGCAGGGGCTGGGAGGTGCTTGGACAGTCTGGCCAGCAGGACTGGTCGCACAAGTGGAGAGAACGTGGGCCAGAGCCATCGTCCCTGAGGGCAGGACGCGGGTGCCTCAGGTTCCAGCACTGGGGGCCCTGCTGCGGGCCCCTGGGACAGACGCACGTGGGCATCTCACACGGGGCCAGGTGACTGGGGCGACAGGACTAGTCGGTGTGCTCGGTGAACCACCGGAGCACCTCGTCCTTGTTCTCGTTCACCCACTTGATGTTGGATTGGGTCTTCTCCAGGGCTTGCTCCAGAGCCCGCGTGCCGGAGCCAAAGCCTATGTCACTGTTGTCCGCCTGGAACTTCTCCAACTGCCAGGAAAAGGGAGAGTCTTAGCCACAGGCGGGGTCTTCACACAGCCCGGAGGAGAGGGCCGCCCGGCCTGCGTCCTCCCTTCCACATCAGCCCCCTCCCCAGCCCCAGCGGGGACCACGGTCTGTTCTCCAGGACAGGAGCCTGCGGCCAAGTCCTCATCTAGGGCAGCGGTGGGAGATGACAGCCCCGGGGCTAAATCTGGCTCCTCAAAGGGTTTGCCCTTCACTGATGCTTCTTCACGGAGTCGACCTCACTTTGAATTGAATTGCAATCTTGATCCCGTCCAGGTAGGAGAGGGGGACACATTAAACAGACACTGCAAGGACGCTACCCGCCACATTCAGAATGCGGCCCGTTCCAGACTACAAATGGCACAGTGGCTTCAACAAATAAATGGTATTTTTTTAAAAAAACAGATGTTACAGACTGAAAGATTATATTAGTACCAGAGGTTGTCCTCAGGGCAATTAGGCAAGAAACTGAAATAAAAGGAACCCAGGAAGGAGGAAGTGAAACTCTCTATTTGCAGATGACGTGATTGTGTATACACAAAACCCTCAGGGAGCCACAAAAAAACTATTAAAACTACTGTATTTGGCAAGATTGCAGGATCATAGAGCAAGATACAAAAATCAGTTGTATTTCTATACACTAGCAATGAAACATCTGAAAATGAATTTAAGAAAACTGTTCTGTTTCCATAGCAATGAAAACAATATAGTACTTAGGAATAAATTTGACAAAAGAACTGCTATATGGGTATGCTGAAAACTACAAAACATTGCTGAAAAAAATTAGGAAGGCCCAAATAAAAGGAGAAAAGACCCAAATAAACCTGTGTTAATAGATTGGAAGATTTAATATTATTAGCATGGCAATACTCCCCAAACCCATCTACAGATTCAATGCAATCTCTATCAAAAATTCCAAATGCCTTTTCTGCAGAAATTTGCAGAATGTGATCCTGAAATTCATAAAGAAATGGAAAGGACCAAGAATAGCCAGACAATCTTGTGAAAAAAAAAAAGCTGGAGGGCTCACACTCCCAATTTCAAAACTCACTACAAAGCTACAGTAATGAAGACAGTGTCCACTGGCAACGGGATAAACAGAGGGATCAAGGACATAGAAGTGGGCCCAGAAACCAATCCCCCCTTTTATAATCAACTGACTTTCAACAAGGGCGCCAAGACCATACACTGGGCGAGAGAACAGTCTCTTCAAAACGGCACTGGGACAACTGGATGCCACCTGCAAGGGAAGGAGGCTGCACCCCTCCCTTCTCCACACACAAAAACTAAGTCAAAACTGATCAAAGTCCTGAATGCAAGAGCTACACTGACAAGACTCTCAGGAAAAGCGCGGGTGTGACTCTCCACGACCTTGGATCAGGCAACTGTTTCTGAGACATGACACCTAAAGCACCAGCACCAGCTGGACCTCCTCAAAATTGAAAACTTACGTGTATCTAAAGATACTATCAGGAGAGTAAAAAGACAATGCACAGAATGAGAGAAAATATTTGCAAATCACGGATCTAATAAGGGCGGAGTATTCAGAATATATAAAGATCTCTTACAACTCAACAATAAAAAGACAAATATCCCAATTAAGAAATGGGCGAAGGATTTGAACAGACATTTCTCCAAACAAGATACACAAATGACTAATAGACACCTGCAAAGATGCTTAACATCATTAGTCATTAGGGAAATGCAACGCATAACCACGATGAGATACCACCTCCTGCCCACTGGGTTGACTATAATTCAAAAAGAAAGAAAATGAAAATAACAAAGAAATTGATTGGACCCCTCATACATTGCCGGTGGGAATGTAAATTGGTGCAGTCACTTTGGAAAACATTTTGGCAATGTTTCAAAAAGTTAAACTTAGAGTTACCAAATGACCCCAAAATTCCACTGCTAGGTGTATACCCAAGAGAAACCAAAACATATGTTCACTCAAGTATTTGTATGTGAATGTTCATAGCAGCGTTATTCATAATAGTCAAAAAGTAGAAACACGCTAACATCTACCTACTCATTAATGGATAAACAAAAGGTGGTACATCCATACGGGGGAATATTACTCAGCTGTAAAAAGGCATGAACCTGCCACAACGTGGAGGAATCTTGAAAACACTGTACTAAGCGAAAGAAGCCAGACACAAAAGGCCACATAGCATATGATTCCATTTCACGAGATATTCAGTATAGGCATGTCCACAGAGACAGAAAGTGGAGTAGAGGTTGCCAGGGGCCGGGGACAGGGGAAAGGGGAGTGACCGCTAATGGATATGGGGTTTCTTTTTGGGGTAATGAAAATATTCTAGAATTAGATAGTTGTGATGGTTGTACACCTTCAAAATATACTAAAAGGCACTTAAAATGGTGAATGTTATAATATATGAAATATATCTCAATTTAAGAAAATGACGGGGGGCCGGCCCCATGGCCGAGTGGTTAAGTTCTCATGCTCTGCTACAGTGGCCCAGGGTTTCTCTGTTTCGGATCCTGGGGGGGACATGGCATCACTCATCAGGCCATGTTGAGGCAGCATCCCACGTACTACAACTAGAAGGACCTTCAACTAAAATATAGAACTATATACTGGGGGGATTTGGGGAGAAAAAGCAGAAAGAAAAAAGAAAATGACAAATCAATCTAATGCAATAAGTTAACTTCGTTTGGCTTCTGATTGAAACATACGTGTCAACTGCAAAAAGAATTTTTTAAAAAAACAACTTAGAGAATTTGAAAATGGCCTGAGTATAAGATGGGAGGAAGGAATTGTTGATTTTCTTGGGTTTGCTAATGACAGTGGGGTTACGTTTAAAAAGTTCCTTTGTTTGAGATATGACTGAAGTATTTACAGGTAAAATTACATGATATCAGTAATTTGCTTGAAAATCGTCCACCCGAAAAAAGTGTTAGAAAATGTTGATAATTGTTCGGTCTGGGAATGGATCCATGGAGGGTCATTATATTATTCTCTTTACTTTTTGCCTACACAAAAATTCCAACGTGAATCTTTTTAATTGAATTGTCATCATGCAAAACGTCTGGACCTCCAGCCGCCCCTGTCAATGAGGAAGGCCTGGCAACACGGAGCCCAGGCTCCCCCGTGACCAGGTTTGGGGGAGCTGAATGGCGGCCCCTCTAGACTGGGGTGGCGCCCCAGAGCCCAGGGCTCCGTACCTGCTTCAGCTCATACTCGGTGGAGAAGCGTCGCGTCACTCCCCGGATGAGGTTGGAGAAGGAGAAGGACCCTCCACCGTAGCTGCAGGGCAGGGAGAGAGAGGGACCGTGAGGGGGCCGGGGACCAACGCTCAGTGATGGCAGGCAACACTGAGTCCACACAACTACGCTGTGACTGTCCCCGTCTTGTCGAGGAGATGAGATGACACGCCCAAGGAGACACGACCAGGGACCTGAATGCAGGTTGGGCTGCAGTGTCCCCGCTCCCATCTCTCCAGAGAACACTCCCACCGGCCTGATTCTTTCCCCCACGTGGGAAACAGATGGCATGGACCCGCCCTGTCTTCAGTTCCTGCCCCCCAGCCGACCTCCAGCTCTGCTAACTTCTGACCGCTCCTAGGCAGTGTCCACTGCCCCCAGCCCTGTGATGGCCCGTGCACACAGAGCACCCCGGGCCCCCCAGCCTGGGCACACACATCTCCCGCACGCTTCTGCAGACTCACTCCAGAAAGAGCTTCCTCCAGTTGCTCTGGATAAAGTCCCAGGCCAGAGTTTGCCCCACGACGTTGTTGGCGATGCTGATAATGGTGGAGGTGGCGTCCTGCTTCCGGATGAGGTCAGGGTTCAAGGTGTAACTCAGGTACCTGTGAAGGCAGGGTGCCATGTTAGTGACTACTTCCAAGGGCTGCCGTCGGACGACTGGAGAGAACCGAGGACGGCGAGGGCCCTGCCCTCCCCACACCCCTCCCCACATCCTCTCAATGTCCCTTCACAGAGGGGAGGGCTGAGGACTCCTTGGTCCTACCTCCCTCTTGTGGATGGGACACTGAGTTCCCTAAGCTGGGTCACTGGCTACGCCAGGTGTCGTGGCCGACACGACCTGGTGCCTGATAAATATCTGACAAGGAAGGAGCACTGGGCTTCGAGCCCTGCACCGTTTGGGCGGCCACTCCTGTCTCTGACGCTGAGGGTGGCTCCTCTGTACTGGGGCCCAGCTGACGGCACATGAGGCACGCAGTGGGAGCAGGAGCCCTCGTCCACGGGCTTGGGGAGCCAGCTGGACGTCCAGAAGGACTCAGGTCCAGCTGCACCGGAGCCCTCGACAGACAGGGGGACTGAGCTGCTGTCAAGTAAAGGCTGAGAGGCTGCAGGAGGTAAAGCGCAGGACACGCACGCAGACCTGGCTCCCATCTCCACTCTCACTGAAGCGTGCGGACCTTGGGCGAGTTGCTTTGCTTCTCTGAGCCCCAGCGTCTTTCTAATGGGGAGAGTCCTGCCCCACCCGCAGGTTTGTAGGACCCCAGGAACGAGGTGTGGAGGCCTGGCTGGTGCCTGCTCCTCCACAGCGGGCCCCTGATCCCGGGACGAGGGGACTCCCCTGCCCGCTCGGTCCTCACCTGTTGAGGATCCAGACCTGGGTGCTGCAGGCCAGGCCTGTGCGGAGCTTGTCAGCCTCGTTGACCAGCGTGGCGTTTCGGAACTGCTCCCAGGCGAAGCCCCACTCCCTCTCGCCACCCTGGGCGATGGCTTTGCAGTAGACAGTGGAGCGCAGGTTGGGGTGGATCCTGGCATGGGGGTGGGGGCGTCAGGGCTGGAGCAGCAGCGGGGAGGGTGGGGAGGGGCTGGGGAGGACAGGGTGTGGGCTTGAGGCACAGAGGAAGGTTGAGGGGACACACTCACGGGTTATTATCGGGGTCTCCCATCCACTGGGCGAAAAGGTTTGAGACCAGATCCTCACACGCAGAAAGCCCGTTGGAGCAGGCGGTGTTGATGGCATTAATCTCGTTGTACCTGCCCAGAGGCGACAGGTGGTCAGCATGCCTGGCCCCGACTCTGGCAAAGGGCCCCCTGCAGACACAGCTCCTGGCAGGGCGTGGGGCTGGGGCTCTGTCTACGCTGCAGCCCATCAGGCCCTCTGGGGTCCCCCGATTTGCTTTCGGCCTTGGGCCCCAGCTTCCTTGGTCCCAAAGGGAGCCCGGGGACACAGAGGGGCCCCGACAGGCTCCAGCCCCAGCTTCAACACCTACAGTCTGAATGACCAAGCCGGTGAGGGGACCTCGGAGTTTCCAGTCTGGTCCTTTGTACAAAGGGGCCAGATGGGCCCAGGGGCCCCACAGAGCCTCAGGCTGGGAAATCTCCCTGGTGGGGGTGTCTCCCTGCAGGTGGCCCTGGTCTGGCCAGGAGTCAGGAGCTCCAGGGGAGGACCCTGCCAGGGTGGCTGGGCCACCCGTGCCCTCCAGACCAGGAGAGGTCATACTCACTGGTCCATCAGGGTTTCTGGGCGCTGAGTCCAGTTGCTGGTGGTGGCCTGGAAATACTCGAAGAGGGGTTTGACCTGCTTCTGCAGGTATTTCTGGGGAAAAGAAAACATAAACAGCTTCAAGTGGGGCCTGACCTGCCTGGACCCCACACAGCCTCTGACGTGGTCGGGCCCGTGGAGCCACGGCTGATGGCTGCAGAAGCAAAGAGGCCAGAGATTCCGGCCTCACAAGGCCAGGCGTGCCCGCAGGAGCCAGCCCTCGGCCAGGATTCGGATGACTGCCCCGAGGTTCTTTCTCCCCAAAGCCTCTGTCCGTTCTAACACCCCACGTCCACATGTCACCATTCTTACTGTAGCGTGGGACCCACCCACCCCCCTCACCCTCCCATCCTCCCCACACCCCGCCGTCTGATCATATCATCATACATATTCCGCAAAACACAGAAAAGCATGGGCAGAGGATAGGACTGCCCGGAGCTCACCAAAACGATGATTTCCGAGTTAGGGAGTCCACCCCTTCGTTTCTCTGCTCTACCTGGCACGTCTACAATGCTGCCCGCTGCTCTTTTTACCTCGCGTTGTACCGTAAGCCCCACCCACGTTATTAAGATCCTTTGCGACGGGCTTCCACACAGTAGATGGTCATGTGTGCCAACGGGAAGCCACTTCCGTTTGACAAAGGAGCAAACCCCGAAGAACCAAGAGAACAGAAAGGGATGGACAGCGGATGAGAGGCTGCACAGTGTGAGAGCAGAGGGCGCAGAGCAGGAGACGAGGGGGAGGGCGGAGTGGGCCCATCCCGGGGATGGGACGGGAGCAAGACTCGTGGGGACAAGGTCAGAATTAGAGGGACGGGACAGCAGGACAGGAGTGATGCAGGGCTGCAAACAGGGTGTTGGAGCCTCAGTCCGTAGAAGGATTAACTAAGCCCTGAGTCCCCCTTCTCTTCATGCAGCAGGCAGCCCCGCCCCTATCTCAGGTCAGGCTGAGCAGATGGCTAAGAACTGGGGTCCCCAGACACGTGGGAGGGTCGTTGGGCTGCAGAGAGGGCCAGAGGGGAAAGCTCACATAGGAAAGGGGTGCCCAGTTTCCTTCCCCACTCCTCTCCCAGAGTGTGAGCACCACCAGCCCAATCACAGGACAGAGGCCCACCCTCTGCAGATGCAGTGCTCTCAAGGGAAAACACTGACAGATACGCTTTTTTTTTCTTTTGCTGGGGAAGATTGGCCCTGAGCTAACATCTGTTGCTAATCTTCCTTTCATTTGTTTTTTCACTTCCTCCCCAAAGGCCCAGCACATAGTTGTATATCTTAGTTGTAAGTCTTTCTAGATCTTCCTTGTGAGCCACCACCACAGCAAGGCTACTGACAGACGGGTGGTGTGGTTCTGTGACCAGGAATCAAACCTGGGCTCCTGAGGCAGTGAGAGCACCAAACTTTAACCGCTAGACCATGGGGCTGACTCTCACAGACACTAATTTTGAGGGTCCTCATGAGGAGGGACTTGGCCACCCCATCCCCCCACAGCAAGACCCCCATCGAGAAACTCCCCTCCCCACGGGGCTTCCAATTCCTCTTTCCTGCCACACGCTCACATCCCAAGGGGCAGCTCAGCCTCCCACTTGAAAGGAGACCAAACACACAGGAGAAAAGGAAAACCAGGTAAACGCCCCGGGACTTCAGAGATGTTGCAGAGGACGCGGGAGCCGGGGCCAGCACCTGGATTTGAAAAGAGGATCCAAGAAGTGCAAACGGTCTGTCAGGAGGGGTGGCGAGCTGGGCTGAGGGCGCGCCCCCCAGGGCAGAACAAAACGTCAACAAGCTGGAAATGGAAGGACCAGAAGCCTGGAGGACCAGCGTGAGAGCAGGAGGATGGAGGACCAGGACCAGAGAGAGAGACCCGAGACAAAGGAGGGGAAGAGAGTGTGAAGGAGCCACAGAAACGTCGTGACTGAAGAGCAGGCGGCTGAGAAACGCCCAATGTCGGCCGCCCAGGTGGGAGCAGAGCCCACTGCCTCCAGGAGGGGACGGCCCCATTCAAGGAACGGAAATGAGAACGTCTCCGGGCTTCTCAGCAGCAACACC